CCCGCCTGGACAAGGTCCTCTACAGCCTACTGTAGGTGACCCTGCTTTGGCAGGGGGGTTGGACCAGATGATCCGCACAGGTCCCTTCCAACCCCTACCATTCTGTGATTCTGTGATTAATCCAGTATTCACTTATTGTCTATAGCACTAATAACACAGAACATTTAAGAGTACTTAACCATTTCACTGTTAAAAACAAGTTGAATTTAATACTATCATTTTTCTACAAATGTTCATTAGAAACCAGAAATCTCTATCTCTAGCATAATTTAAAAATATACAAGCAAAAGTTCAGCTGAAAAAAAAAGCCTGGCATTTTAGTAGTGAAAATCTGGTAAAACCTTAAGTGGGCCCAGACTTTGTTTTAGAACTATTATCCATCCATGTAACATGAAAATATACTGAACTAACAAAGTACAAACCAAATGCAAGACTGCTTAATAATTTATGTTATATTCTGGCTAAATAAGATAATGACACGCATTTCAGAGATACCCAGTCTTTAATCTGAACAGGTAAATCTGATACCAGCAGCAACACAGCTGTGGGAAGCTGAGGAATTAGGCAAAATGTCATCACCATAAAAGATTATAAATGCAAAGTAGCTGACGATATTTGTACGATCTCCTACTGAGCATGTGGGACACTGAGAAAAAGACGTACAGGTCAACACACTACTCTTAAGTAATGGTCCTTCATAGCTACTTACAGCTAGATTACTTAAAAACAAACTTCTCTGGCTATTTCAGAATTTTGAAGCAAATTATTCTGGTGAAACCTAGATGACCAGAGCAAAAACCTGCAACCACAGAACACAGTTCACTGAACTAATTCTACCCTAAATCAACGGCTTTTAGTTCAGATCCTAAACTGGAAAGCAGTTACCCAGAGGTTGTTTTTTTTTCCTGTAGATTCCTTCACTTCCAGTTCTAGTCACAGAGCCATAAGCAGCCCATATTGCACGTTATACCGAGTGCTGCACTATAACAAAAAATCTCCCCAACTGCAAGTTACTTTCTTACTTCTACTTGAGTCCCTGCACTTCTACTACATTTTAAGCAATGACATGCAGTTTCGATCCTACAACAAATATAGATTACTCAAATTTACGCAGACTAAATGAGACTACTATAGGAGTTACAAAAATAAAGGTTTTTCTTTTTCTTTTACAAAACTGAGATGACTTCCAGTTCCTTTTTGTCTATAATGTGTCTTTCACTGTTTTCTTCAGTACGATTTTAACTTAATCTGGTCGATGATCAAATCCTTGATTTCAAAATACAGAAAGGTTAACCTTCACAGCATGTTTCCATGCAATATAAAACCCCCTCTCTCATTTAAGTCAAGTATATGCTTCTGTAAGAACAGGAGGGACTAATTCTCCATGACAATGACATTTTCCAGTACGGTCAAATAGCCTTCCCAAAAACAGACAACTGTTTGGATTATCACCTGGACATATGATAACACATAAAAATCTACTCATATATCTACAAAGTTTTCAGGTTTACTTGCTGCTTTATTTTTTTAAATAATAACATAAACCCCTTCTAATATAGTCAACATTTTCGATTCTACTGAATTTCAGTTTTTATCACTGGTACTTCATTTGCTTAAAATAACTTCTTGTAAAATTCAATTCTCCACAGTAAAAAACTGCTATTAATTATAATTATGTTCTGTCATTGACAGAAGTAAGGTAATCTGCTGTTCTTGTAGAACGTTCTTTTAAAGAAAATGATTATTCCCCTTAAAGAAAAGGATTAGAAAATCCTCAAGAAGGATAGAAAAGGTCTCACAGTAAAACTATACTGTTATTAGAATGTGAGCTCTTAATTCCTGACAGAAAATTATATAAAATACTGTGTGAAAGCTGTATCTATGGATTATGTTTTTAATTACTGTGTTTACAACCTTTATATGTGTAAAATTCCACATGAAATATGTCTAGGTACTACATCTTGAGTTGTTGGTGATGCTTTGACTGTATTAGAACTCCAATATCTGCAGATTTTCCCATATTTCCCAAAAGACTACTTTAGACAGACGTACAGGACAATATTACTCAGTTTTCCAGTAAAACCAAACAGAGTTCCTCAAGTCCCAGCAGTACTTACCAAAGCAAACAATTCTAGCATTCCTATAAAAAATAATTATTTTACTGTATTTATTGTATTTCTCTATAGAGAATCTATCATGTAAATAAGAGCACTATCCTTTCTAATGACAGACAGCAAAAATATGCAGAACTTCGCAATCACTGCCCTGAAGAGCTCGCAGTCTAAATAGATATACTAAGCAAAGAGCAGGGAGGAGTGGTAGAACATGAAAGCGTATACAGCAATGACAGCAAACATCGTGTGATTAGATGTGATTATTTCCTGGCATACCTAGACTGTATTTCATGTAAGCATTCCACAACACATAAGACCACAAAGAAATAAACATACTAGGGTGATTATCTGAGAAAACAGTTTTCTTTTAATGAAGTTTTGCTTCCAAAATGGTAATAAAGACTGTAAACTTTGTAAATACTAATTTTAAAAGCCTGACGAGACAGATACAGAAATACTACATATAGACCCTCAATGGCATAACCAAGGACTGCAATTGATATCTTGTGGCTTGTTATTAAGAAAATTAAATGGTTTCAATGGTATAAAATATAGGGGTATTTAATTTTAATCAAAAGTATTATAGCTTTTTGAAATACTATCTTGATTCAATTAATTTTTGCTCCTATATTATTTGAAAATTACCTGGTAATTTAGCAGCTGTATAACATCATAACATATTTGCAATAAAAACATTGTTTTGATTAAATGCATGGTTAACATTAAACATGTCAAATAGCCTCAAATGCTTAAACTGAAATATGTGCCTGAAGTGCTAATCCTGAAAAAGTACATACATACTTAGGTTAACTGAAATACTCTTATCTGCTGCAGTGTAAACCCTGGATATTTAAAAATGGGAACATGTCTAGGTACTTTTTTAATGATGATCATATTTAGATAGTATTATTTATGCTGTCTTTTTTTTCATGTCGAACCTGGTAAAATTTATAAGCCACAGGTCTGAATATAAAAAAGACTAAATAATTATGACAGTAATTCTGCCTATGTCTATGCAATCAAGTAACATCAATTGCAGTTGGGTTTATTTTTCCCTATATAGCCTCTCAAAAAGGCTTTCAGGTGAAAAACAAACCCTCCTTTATGTACAGACCTTCATAAGATTCTATCTCCTTGTCTCCATTGTCTAGGGAAAGTAACAAAAACAAAACAAACAAACAAAAAAAAAGGGAACCAAAGCACAGGGGTTAAAAACAACAGAAGTTTTACAAATGCTACAATATACATGTTAAGAAGGATTAAAAAAAGGAGTGTATATGGCCATTTAGACTGATTTTGCATAGCACATCTAGTTATCAGAAGTAAAGGGTCAAAATGCATTTGCTATTAAAAATGTGTTTATATTCCTCTGTTTCTAAACATTTGGAAAATGTGTCCATTGACCAGTGCTTTTATATGACATTAAAGATAAGCACAACCACAGTACCAGTAAAACATGAATCATGATATATCTTGCTGACCTTGCCTATTTTAAAGATTATTACTTCTCCTCTCATTCTTCCTGTTTCAAGATGCAGAGGTTTTATATTAGCAACCTGTAACACACTCCATGTGAAACCACAAGTGATCAGCTATGCTCCTAACTCCCAGAAAAGCCAGAGTTTTGTCACTAAACAACACACAAAAGATCATTTCCTGTGCCTACTGAAGTCAATGATAAAGCCCCTGTTGAGTTCCAAAGGAACAGGATCATGCTAATAGTTAGTCCATCTTAGTTCGTGTGTATTACACTGTTGATGAATATTGTACTGCTGATGATTCAATTCCATCAGAAGTGTTCTAGATATTAAAATAGAAGAAAATACAGTACAAAATACAATACTAGTATCAATTCCTAGTTTTGTACACAAAACTCAAGAGATTTCAACTGTAATGCCAAAAGAAAAATAAAAAATATAATTGACCTTCATGAGCAATTTTGCAATGTCATTAAGGAGAAAAACATACACTTACTTCTCTCCAACGTCCCCTTTGGTGGGAGCTGTGGTAACTGCCTGCCCCTTCGCCCTACTACTGGAGTACTTGATGGACTTGTCTGAACAGAACCAGTACGAGGATGTGACCTATGAGACACATATCAAAACAAACCATAGCCATTAAATGACAAATTAATCCTTAAATATCATCAAGAACTGATAACATGATTAAAAAGGGTTTAGATAACTTGGGACCCTTGCAGTCCCTTAGTGAAACTATTATCTCTTTTCACAAAAAAGACCTGATTAAAAAGAGAAATCTCTCTGTGAAAAAGAAGAAAAGAAAGCCAAACTAAGGCTGAACATCCATAAGATGCATGTTTGCACAGTCAAGCCAGAAAATATATTGTGTGTGTAGTCATGTGCATATGGATATAATACCCACATACATACAAAATTTTCCACAAGTCAAATTCCACAATCTTTACTCAGCTTGTATTTGGTTAAATTACCATTAAGTGGCACTGAGATTACAAGGATTCATCAAAATAAAGTAATAAACTGAGAAAAGACACTGGTATTAGACTAACTCTCACTGGGGATTTGATGTTACTAACTCTCACTTTCAGAAAACAAACAAATGTATTCTAAAGTTCTAAAATAAGAAGAAGCTTTATTGAACATCAGCTGGACCAAAATGTACTCATCTTTTTATTGTATTGTGATGATTTAAGCTAAGAGTAATGTATAGAAATCTTCAAAATGTCAGTCAGTAAAGTATAGCACTCAAACAGGAACAATACAGACTATGGCACAATAAAATGTAGTCAGAGAAAATGGTGGTTAAAATGGTAAGTAGTAGACACAGTTAGTATAGTCCATTTAAAGAAACTTTTTTTTTTTAAAATAGTTTCATTTGATGTTGCTATGATGGTTGTTCCTTAAGCGATGTCTGATGAACACAAACAATTTCTCATTCTGTAAGAAAAGAATATGATACTTATGAGGTGCTTTATGGGGGAAACCATCCAGGATTCCTGATAAATGAGAAATCATGAACAAATGTAATTAAATACTGTTAGTGAACAACTGGTAATGGCAGCCACACCATTATATCCAGAGTAGAATATAAATAGTGTGTTGGCACTGAAAGGGTTAGTATCTATTGCTACTAGTGATCAGCTAAGGATGAGGCGGTACCAATTATCTACTGGGAAAATAAAATGGTGAGCTGGTGGGGCAGAAGGGGATTAGTCTGATTGATTTGTCTGTTTCACCTCGGTAAGGCAGGTGAAGGAGGGGCAGATCTTCCGGTCATTAATGAAGGCATCGACCTGATGAGGTTTGAGTCAGGACGCTCTGTGGATCGGGAGCGGGAGTTGGTCCGCTCTAGCATAGGACGTTGCTCTGTTGATCTGGATCTTTGATAGGGCTGTCTATCTGCTGCTTCACAATTCCTGTAATGTTAGTCAAAAAGCAGCTCAGTTGACCTTTGACTTTTCTATTAATTAAAAAATATGCTGCATGATACTGGTTTGGAGCAAATCATTTTGTTATGTACATTTTTGGGGGGGCTAAATTTTCTGAGTTAGCTTCTTGATAGCTGTTTTTTCATACATGTATAATTTGGCTTGCTTCATATTCTTGATAAATGGGCTGAAATGTTTCCAATGTCTCAGTAATGACTATCCATGCAATAGTCTGTTTCCTGACAATATCTGGGTAAAAAATTTATTTTGTTAATTAATACATCAATCTTGGAGGAAAAGAATAGCTGACATAACACTAGGTCTCAATAAAGCTAAGGACTAATTTCAGTGTGCAGTTTAATTGAGCATTTTTAGTCACATGACTAGATTTTTACTGACTGCATTATCTTTAGAGGTAGTACTCTTATTTGTAGAAAAGTCCACATTCCAGATGTTACAATTATCACGTAGCACTGTGAAGTCTTATTAGACTCAGTAGGTCTGTCAAAACACAGGCTAGGCTATGGTGACAGATTCATAGGCGGTGCCCGGACTGCAGTCAGATGAAAATCTACAACATCGTTTGTACTTGCAGAGGTTCCACCAACTAGACAAAGTTTGGTTTGTAATGAAAACAAATCTTCTAACCCACCACCTAAAGAACTGTGCCAAAGCAGCAATGCAAAAAGTTACCATTAGAGATGCAACAGGAAGAAAGTAGACTGAGTAAAAAAGAATTTCTTGATCAAGCAGTCTGGTCTTCTACTATCTTAGGCAATTAATCACAACATTACTTTCAGAAATTAATCAAGCTCCACCTTTTTTCACAATGGAATTGGTCTGATTGTAAGGAGTAGTATTTGCTAGAAATATCCTAATAAGTCAAGGTAATGTTAAAATCCATACTCTGATGGAGCTACTTATTAAATTCATGCTCCTCCCAGCTCTGCTTGAGTAACTGAACAGCTATAGAATACAAAAGGCAAGCATGTACCCTTCAGGACTTTTCCTTGAGTGAAGTAATGCATTTTACACTGAAGTCAGTTAATACAAACAGTGACTGCATGGCGATTAAGTGTAACAAGCAGCCAAATTTTAATTAGTATCAAAAAAGAGAGACATACCACAGTCTCATTATGAAGAAGCTTAAGTTCTTAACAGCATTTTTAGTTCTAAAAACCATATTGAGATATACAGCTGTCTCTAGGGTGTCTAACTTTGCTGAATGGGTTGACAAAAGATTCATTAAAATTAATGTCTCTTCAGGCCCTCCATGAGGTCATAAATGGACTCCTAGAGCATACAAAGGAATTGCCACAGACAGATTCAGAATAATACCATTCACCATGAACCTACAGCTATAAGCTCCTAACAAGCAAACACACCACAGTGAGACACATAATGGCAATTATAAGCTGAGGCACTAAAGACTGGAGGAAAAGTACAACGAGCCTGGCACAAAACCACAACAAAATTACCTCTCTGCTTCTTCTATCAGTTCTGTTTCTGAATGGGAAGCTTCATCAGCAAAAACATCCACTGTCTCGCTTCTTTTACATTGTGAATAGACAAAGAAACACAGCCTTAGCTTTGATATGAATGTTGCTTAGTTTAGGCAACTGTTTAATAGAGGTTTCAGTGCTATGGAAGGTGAGAAAGGTGTCAGCCATCTACAAGCTGTTTAGAAAAAATGACCACGGTAATAACTTCTTAGATAACGGGAATAAATTCTAAGAAAAAATATTCCTAAATTCAACAAAATTACAAAAGAGAATACAACCACGGTCCAGACAACCCACCCCTACCTTGTGTATTGACATGTTTAAGAAAATTAGTGAGCCCACAGAGACTTTCTTCCTTGGGTCTGTCACATAGAGAGCCAGAACAACCATTCTCCTGCCAGTGTGTGGGGGACTGCTGGAGCACACAGCAGCAGCGACTGGGCAATATGGTGAGAGGTATCATTCCATTCTCTATTCCTCTCCTTCCAACAGCAAGTAGGACATACAGAGGAAGAAGTGAGTAGCATCCACATGATTGTCATAAACTCTTCATGAGAAGTTAAGCCTCTTTCACTTGCTACTCTTAAGGCCTCATTCTCTTTAGCTGTTGTACAAAATGTATTTTTTTGGATGTTAGGAATCTGATCCATTACCTGTACTAGAAGGCAGAGAGGGATTTTTACCTTTAGGACCAATACTAACGGCTTAGTAAGCAGGTTTTGTATTCTGCAGAGCATCACGGAGCCACTACAGCTAACATCTGTGCTAACAGATAAAGGCCTCAGAAATATCCTGTTCAATAGTTAATATAAATATCCAGTTTGCCACAGTCTGCAGCTGGCATTTACTTCAGGCGGAAAATCAACCAGGAGTTCCCAAAAGTGAAGGAGAAGGTGAATTTTGGCAGTGAACCTTATGCTTTTAGATGAAGCTTTGGCACCACGGTTGTTTCGTAGACCGAAGGATTTGAAGACTAAGTTGAATTCTGAAGCGAAACCGAGTTGTTACCCTCAAGTTACAAACTATGTGTCACAAACCTCTCAGTACCCACAGCAGCAAACGGAGGCTATATGAGCATACTGACAGCCTTCCACTTGGAAGCTTCACTGTGTGGTTTTAGACCATATATACATAAAGAAAAACTCAACAAACTGTTTTATTTTTTTGGAGTGAAACAGGCATATCTTTGTCCTCACATATTTTTTTGCCTTTTAACAGTAAACACGTGTGCTATATGACCCAGGTCTTTAGAAATGAACTGTCCCTTTTATAGAAAAAATATACTCCAATAACCTGCTTGGACAGTGAAACCCCTCACGTACCACAATATACAGCTATGCATTAATATCACCTCCAGCCATAAGCATGGAAGCGTAGTTTTTAAAAAACACCTCAGTGAATTAAAAGCAGAAGTTCATAACTTTTCAGATAACAGTTTTGAGGGCTTATGCTCCCAAGTTATCTAGACGAATTACTGATTTTTAAAGAAGGAAATATAATAGTCTAAGTTAAAGTATTCAACACCCACATAATATTTTACTGCATGCTGGAGCTGTGTATCTTTGCTAACAGACATTTCGTTATAAATATCCAGTTAATGAAATGTCAGATAGTGACCTTCTCCATTTAGTATTGTCTTTTGTAGCATCCTTCTACCTTTGAGAAGGAAAACATGCAAGGTAGGTGGTCTATTCCCTGGTCAAATTCTACAAGACTTGTGAGCATAACTCTCCCCTACAGTGAGGAAATAATACAGCAGTGGTTGTTTCTTAACCAAGCATGCCTATCACCCTGGAACTATTTGAGCCACTTAAGCCACTGTGCAGAAAACTCTGTACATGTTTACAATTTGATTTTATATTCCAAGCCCACAAAACATTGGAATTAGAATCACATACTATTTAGGTACAACTGCAAACTCTAGTAACTACAATGTCTAACCAAAGGTGCTACAACATTTTGTTTTAACTACTAATTTATCTGCATTGTTCTATATTCATTTTCTGGAAAAGTCAAAAGCTAACTGTTTCCCCAATGTAAAAAATAACCATTTCTAATTTTTAATTTTTCAGATTTGTTACTTTTCTTAATAAAAAGGAGAATTTTCCACAAATTAATACATTCATTGATCTAAACTTATGTATAGACAAAGCCATATAAAAGACGAACATTTTTCAACTGTAAGCATTCATAACAGCTTACAACACAAAAGTTATGTTTTTCCAAACAATAACTGAAAGCAGTTTATTTTAAAGCCCATGTATTAAATTCTTTTACTGTGTGCAAGACTAAAAAAGCAAGCTATGAGATCATGCCATGCCAATCACAGTTTTAGTACTAAGTTGCTCTTGTAACAAAAAAATGAAGAAATAAAAATAGAATCGCTGTAGGATTACAATACACTACAACTGAGCTCCGAGTTCATCTTTTTTTCATCTAGAAACAGTGAGCACAAAACAAGAAAAATACAGCGATACATTTTCTAATTACCGTAATTTCAAATTCCAGCTAATATACAACAGTAATACCTGTCAGTGTCTGTGGATGGCTGCTGGATTTCAATCCTTGGACATGTTATTCTTCTACTAGCTATAGGAACTTTGCTGTTTAGTCACAGACACAAGATCCTTTGTTAGCATAACACAGATAAGCATGTCTACAAACACCTGAGATTTCTAGTACCAAGCAAACTTAAATTTGAGTCAGAAGTATTGTAATAGAAAATGTAAAGGAGAAGTATACTGGCATATATTTAGATAAACTGGTGACTGGATATCTCACCAAATCACTCATCTATAACTCTGAAGAAACCTAATATAAAATTCTGTGCTGCTTTTGTTTTTACAAGCCAGGAATGCAACACTTCTAGGTACTCTTGCAAAATAAATAAAAATAGCAAGCAAAGCAAGACGTTTTTGCTGCAGTAATATTCTATCATGCTTTACATATATGTAGCATACATACCTGTACACATATGTGCACACACTCATATGATCTATTCACATGCACTTTACACAGAGGCGCATGTTATAACTACAGGTATATCTACATGACAGCCACAGGCATGACTAAACTGTTACATGCCAGTATCTGAACTACTTTTCTACTAGCTGGCTAGATAAGCAGACAAAGCAGAGAACTCAGCTGCGATCCCAGGCACATTTTGCTCCACACTGCTGTGAGCAGACTGCTGCAGATACAGAAACTCAGTTGCTTACAGCCTGCTTAGGTATCTGCACATGGCATTGCAGTCACTTTGGTGATTCTGTTGTAGACATATCTGACCGTGCTAACACATGATAGCATGATGCAATTACAAAAATCCTTAAAGAAAGCGCATACAGCTTATACTTAGCGATTTACTCTCCAAAACATGTTTCTTCACCAACAGATTTTAAGGTTGTTTAATTACCAAGGATAGCAAAGCCCTGCTTTAAGTAGGGAGTTAGATCAGATAGTTTTTTCAAGGTTGCTTCCAATCCAAAT